TCAGTGATAAACGGTGATACTCTGTCGATACCATAATTTTTTTTTCTTTTTTTTTTTTTTTAATACACACGTAATTATAATGTAAACGCGATGCAAGAATAATGATAATCATAATGACGAAAAAAACAAGAAAAATTACGGTTATAGCTTTATGTATAACAGTAATGGCGATTCATTATTATTATTATCATGTAGTGTAGCGATAAGTTAATATTATATATTATTATAACATTACCATATAAGGCCAAAAACCACACGATTTGTAAAGACAAGATCGAGAGCGCGATGAGTCGCGCAGGACGAGCGCAAGGGTTTTTTCCTGGAAAATTTTCGCGCTCGTTGTTCTCGCCGACCTTTCTCTCAGGTATAATTGAAATCCAAGTACAAACTACATAGTATGATATTTTATAAGCGATGATCGAACGAAGGAGAATTTAAAGTATAATAGAGTGACCACACCATTTGTTTGTTTTTTTTTTTTTTTTTTCTTCGTTTTTTTACAGTTTGATAATGTTACGTATCGATATAAAATCCAACGAACGATGTATTATGCAATGGGCGAGTGAGAAGCGAGGGAAATAATATTATGTTCTGTGTTCAGAGCCGAGATTATCGACTTTAAACTTTTTTTCTTTTTTTTTCATAATAAACCATTAATTGTATCAGTACCAAAACTATTCGTTACCGACGATAATATTATGTTGTACGTATATATATATTTGTAGAAATCTAGATGATAATTGAAAGTGTAATTCACACGGGCATTGCCGACATGACTTTATCGTTCATTTATATTTCAAGATATGCGAAACTGCTATGTGCGCCAACTCGAATATCACGTTCCATACGTTATAAATACTATTTAATGATATTATTTCGATACCACGGATTTTTCTCGCTACTTCTTCCTTTCCCCCTTTTATTTGTACAATACATCTGGAGAAACAGATGAATCCCAGATCGTGAAATATCACTACGAAACATTAAGTATTATTATGAACGTGTACGCATTTTCTTTTCGTAGTGCGTTTTTTTGGCGCTTAATCTCGTGTTTAACGCTCGAACTGAAATCGTCGTGTACGCAGATCGGCACCAATTTTATACCCCGTAAAAAAAAAAAAAAAAAAAAAAATGAATTCCCTCCAGCCATCGGATAACATGTATCTAATAATAATGAATAACGTGGAGCAAATAACATAAACTTGGTGCACTTATTGTATAAATAGAAAAAAAAAAATAATAATAATAATAGTAATAAAGTGCTCACGTCGATTTGTTATTGTTAATTTTTTCCAGCTCACATGAAACATAGAAATCTTTTTATTGGACTGACCATAGAGATGTTATACAACCTTTAAACTGTAACGCCAATTCGTCGGCCGATTTTTATCTTTAATTGCCTGTGATTTATTTAAAACGCTGATGAATATAGATATAGATTATTTTACTCCGGAGATGGGAAATGCAAATATTTTTATTGCCGATATATTATACATAAATAGAGTATAAATGTACCTATTACGATAAGCAGACGAGAGATAAACTTGGGATGAAAATCGGCACGTTCGGCGTTCGGCGATGAATTTTTTTTTTTTTTGTTTCCTTGGAAATAAAAAAAAAATATATTTCTCCAATTCATTTATCATTTTTCTAGTTTCACTAAGCAGTGCATGTTAAGGTTTAATGAAAATTAAAAATAATAATAAAAAAATAAGTAAAACTTACGGAACGCTATTTATATGTATTGTAATAGCGTGATAACGTAATGATGTTTATAAAATAGATGAAAACAATAATAATCGGAAGGTTTAATAATCGAGAAAAAAAAGGGGGATGAAAAGAAAATTAAAAAAAAACAAAAGTATCTTGATCATAGCACGTGTAGAGCGGAGCGGTGCGACTGTGGGCTCGGTAAAAATTCTACCGTTGCAGAGGGGCAGCAACCATAAGTGTAAGAAAGACGGAACAAAAAAAAAATAATAATAATAATAATAAAGAGCCTAAAGTCACGCCGGTGGTCCATGTACGGACCGTCGATTTCAGAGTACAAAGTAACTAATGTTTAATGTTTAAGTGTATAAGCCCGAGGCGGGCCAATCAACTACGAAGATAACAGATCAGAAACATAATTAACACACGAGCAGAACTATTAACGCGGATGATTAATAAAGAAATGTTACGTATAAAAATATAAGATTATATGAAAAAAAGAAAAAATATATATATATATATTAAAATTATTATNTATTACATTTAAATTATGCTTTACTTTAGTGATCCTTTAGTGTTACTTGATTTAAAATACCGTTTCTAATAAATTACATACATATTTTATAAAATACCATTTCCACAAATATGTCACATTATGCTGTGTGATTTTTATTATGAATATAGAACTTTTTTGACCATAAACTCCTCAAAATTCATCAAACTAAGCACAGATTTGAAAAGTTATTTTAAACTGTGAATAGCCGAAATTGTACACTTGTGTATTAATTAAGCAGTCTTGCATTCTTCCAAACCAATAACGGTATAAAATAAAAATTTTTCACTATAATTTAATAACAGGATCAGTTTTAATCGCTATAATACTAATAGATCTCTTATAAATTACAAAATCACACAAAAAAAAAAAATTGTATGAAATACGAGTACTGTAACTGCATGAATAAAAATTATTTCATGAGCCTTAAAAATTGTATAAAAACAAATCAATTATGCAGTAGCCTATCACATTTAGCTACCAATATAATAAAAATCTTATTAACTGTACGATTCATCATAAAAGTAACAAAAGCGTTGTCCAAGTTTTTTGTAGTGTCGTTAAAGAGTCGTAGATGTAACAGCACTTCTAATAAAAATAAAATAAATAGTATCGCATGAATAACTTTTAAAAATTATTCAACATTTTATTCTATTGACTGTACAGCTTTATTTTTATTTCAGAAAGATGACAGTCGTCAGAATCGTTTGGCGATTGACGGTGATTCAATGATTTACAGTTTTTTTTGTCTAGTTGTTGCATTCGATAATACATATATAATCAAATGATAACGTTTTCTCACAGAGAAGGTTTTGTTTTGCTTAATTTTTTTTTTTTTTTTGCATAACCGATTGTTAATTTTTCTAATGCCGAATTAATTTAACCAACTATAAGCAAATCATCCACGAACTCGTGCTCGGGAACCTCGAGGTTAAGGGGAGCTGGGCCTTTTCTGATTCTACCAGAAGCATCGTAGTGCGACCCGTGGCACGGGCAATAGTAGCCACCAAAGTCACCAGCGTTTGCTATGGGCACACAACCCAAGTGTGTGCAAATTCCAAGGATAACTAGCCATTCGGGCTTTTGGACTCTGTCAGCGTCAGTCTGGGGGTCTCTGAGGGACGCAATATCAACGGCTTGCTCTCTTGCAATCTCGTCAGCAGTCCTACAAATAAATTGAAACTTTGATTCCTATCGTTGATAAATATGATTAATTTTATGCTTGATGCAGAGTTGAATAGTTCACAAGTTAAAAAGTGCGTATGAAAACAAAAAACGTTGATTAAACGCCAGTATCCCAACAAAGATGTATCAAAGATGTTTATACATGGCAATAAGCAACAATATATCACTGAATACAAACCTATGACGGATAAACAGTGGCTTTCCACGCCATTTGAATACCACGCTCTTTCCTTCAGGGATAGCATCTAACTTAATTTCAATTTTAGCCAAAGCCAATACATCAGCTGATGCTGACATAGACATGACCGCATCGTACACCAAGGATTTTGCAAAATAGGCACCAGTAACTCCAACACCTAGAAACACAGTTACAATAAGTCAGAATCTAAGTTAAAATGCGGTTTGTTATGACATAAGTCAACTTACCTGTTGCCACAAGATAAGATACTGATGTACGGGCGGCTTTGGTGTCCCTATTTTTGGATGCCGGATCGAGGGTGGATTCATGACGATATTCGCTAAAGTCTGGTATTTGGATGTCAGAATGCGCTAGCCTCTGCTGAGTTATAATATGGGAGTTTACTGTACAAAAGAAAAAAAAGAAAGCGTACTCACGTTGATGATCTCGTCTACTAACTCATAAGACAATCTTATGTATAAGCTATAACTAATCGACATTGATTTTTCATTTTCATTCAATTGGCAGGTGTATGAATGTACAATACACTGTTGTGATGAAAAAGATGCAGGGCAATCTACTCTTAAGGACTAATAATATAATAAATCAGATGAATCGTACGAATGAACGTATTGAAAATCATCACAGACAATATAGTTGAAGTATTTAAGGATCAGAATAGAGGAAAAAAACATGAAAATGACAGGTCGTGGGTGACATGGAGAGTAACCTCTAGCCAGTGAAAATCTCTTGAAAGCTGAGAGTAAGGTTGTCGAAATCGTCCGTGCAAGAGCTGGTAAGTATAGCGAAATTATAAAAAAAGTGTTCGCTCAAAACACGATGCAGCAAAAAAAGGCCAAAAATAGCTATTCCAACTTATAGGTATTGGCAAAATGATTGTTGTTGCACCAGGTTTCGAGATTGCAGACAACTAACTCGGCCGGTAAGCAGGGCAGCGACGACGTCACTTGAAGTAAACTTGCGCCCGTTACATAATTATTTCCGCGAAAATAAACATTCTGTGGATTCCACGAGCAAAACAAAAAAAAAAAAAAAGGGATGGACGGATCGAGACTTACCACCAATGCCGCTACTCACACGAACGACGCCCTGGATTCTGAGATCCTGGGCGAGCGTGTAGCCGAGGCAGCGTTTGACGGGGTTGACCAGCATGATCTTCTTGCGTTGGATCTTCGTCGCAGTGTTGACGGGCTTCGCGTACACTGGATAGACTGTCAGCGAGGCCCGGGCGAAGGGCGCGATCGACGATGACTTGGCGATCACGTTCATAATCCTGTCCACGAGCTCGTTTCCTCCTTTTTTTTTCCTTCACCAGCCACCCGCGCGCGGATAAGACGTAACTGCAAACACCCAGCACCAGACGACGGCGCTTTTCAGTTGGTGGGAGAGGGAGCTGAGGGAAAAGGGAGGGACGTGCAATATATATATAGTATGATTCAGTCTGCGCAATGACAAATATGACACAACCGCCCAAGTCACCCTTGCATCTCAATCTCAAATGTTAATTGTTTTTTTCCCAGGATAAGTATAAATTTTAGTATTTTTATCCACTAAACGAAAATTTTACTTTTTTTTTCAATCATTTTGCAAAACGATTTTTTCGTAGTAGTCAGAAAAGTAATAAAAAATTGCTGCATACAACTGAAAATATAAATGTATTAGGTAATAAATAATTGTTGTACAAAACTTTATTAAAATTTTATTACATGTTAAAAATTACTGATCTTATCATTATTAACTTATTATTAACAATATTACGTTAAACACGAATAAATAGGTAAGTCATGTATAATTTTGTCATTGCTATGGCGAGCAGTGGTTGTGGTAAGGTTGAATTTTTTCAGTATCTCTATAGAAACTCTGACTGTATTTTTTTAGATTAGGTACATCTTAGCTTAATTGTTTATAAAAAATACGTTTTTTTTTCTCTCTTAGAAGTTATTACATTTAAATTATGCTTTACTTTAGTGATCCTTTAGTGTTACTTGATTTAAAATACCGTTTCTAATAAATTACATACATATTTTATAAAATACCATTTCCACAAATATGTCACATTATGCTGTGTGATTTTTATTATGAATATAGAACTTTTTTGACCATAAACTCCTCAAAATTCATCAAACTAAGCACAGATTTGAAAAGTTATTTTAAACTGTGAATAGCCGAAATTGTACACTTGTGTATTAATTAAGCAGTCTTGCATTCTTCCAAACCAATAACGGTATAAAATAAAAATTTTTCACTATAATTTAATAACAGGATCAGTTTTAATCGCTATAATACTAATAGATCTCTTATAAATTACAAAATCACACAAAAAAAAAAAATTGTATGAAATACGAGTACTGTAACTGCATGAATAAAAATTATTTCATGAGCCTTAAAAATTGTATAAAAACAAATCAATTATGCAGTAGCCTATCACATTTAGCTACCAATATAATAAAAATCTTATTAACTGTACGATTCATCATAAAAGTAACAAAAGCGTTGTCCAAGTTTTTTGTAGTGTCGTTAAAGAGTCGTAGATGTAACAGCACTNTTTCAATTAAAAAATGAAGGTCATTTGATTTTCAAGAAACGTTTTGTTATGTACCTACAGCATTGTAAATGCTGACTTGATAGTATAACTGAATCTCCGACCGCGTGGCGGCATGATTCACTCCCGCATGTGGCGAAAAAAGTGTCTGGTCAGTATATATTTGAGCCTGTTTAGCCTAGATTGTTTACGTAGTCTACATTTCTCATATGTCTGTGGTTTACGCGCTGTCCCCATAACTTGCAGTAGAACCATGTAGTCGATTATAAATCAGCCGCAACTAATTAACTAGACATAAAATGAAAATTAAACGTTGTTTGTGCTATTTGTGGCAAGTATACAATTTATCTTATACCCAAAATTCGACTTCCAAAAGTATAAATACATAGGAAGTCGATTTTCGGGTAAAAAATAAATTATAAACTTGCCGCAAATAGCACAGAAATTGTCAATTTTATAATTTTAATCTATAAAATTAGTTGCGGCTTTACACAAAATACATGAGTGGCGGGAGAGTGCGCGCAAGTAGAGCGGCGAGAATTCGAGGTATACCTATATAATCTATAGATATAATTTGTACTATATTATTATAATAATAGGCAAAGAACTGCTGTTACATCGTAATTATAACGTTGTTTATTGGTCTATCTATGATTAGTTAATTTTTCCATACAATCTCCGATTCTCTTTAAGTATTAGGCAATGGATTATAGCAGATATTGATGTAATTTTGTCAAAGTTCATCGATTTACTATTTTATTTAGCAAAATTTTTATATTTACACATTATTAAATTGTATCACAGGACTTTTCGTGTAGTGACTTTTTTTGTTCTTCTTTTTAAATTTCTTTTTTATANGCTATAATACTAATAGATCTCTTATAAATTACAAAATCACACAAAAAAAAAAAATTGTATGAAATACGAGTACTGTAACTGCATGAATAAAAATTATTTCATGAGCCTTAAAAATTGTATAAAAACAAATCAATTATGCAGTAGCCTATCACATTTAGCTACCAATATAATAAAAATCTTATTAACTGTACGATTCATCATAAAAGTAACAAAAGCGTTGTCCAAGTTTTTTGTAGTGTCGTTAAAGAGTCGTAGATGTAACAGCACTGACGCCGTGGACCAATATAGTTGGTGGTAGATCGACTGTCAACTCGGTTAAAAATTGTAGATATTGCCTATGTAGAGTATTTTTATCCCACGTATTAGAAGACGGAGGTGCTGGTAAATATATAAACACGGCAGCTGTTTGCGAGCAATATTCTCTGATGAGTTTGTTAACACTGAAATAAGTAAAAAAATTTCCATGTAAAAATAAAAATAATAAGATAACGTTTTTATGTGCTTTTTCAACTAAATAGCCTTACTTTAAAATATAAGCACGGGATACGTTGCTGCTCAGTGCGTTTTCTGTACCTTCCACGCTGGCTTCAAACGAACTCTCTGCTCTGCTTTCCAACAGCGCACGACCATTTAGTTCTCCAATTTGTTCGCTCCAGTCAGGTATTTTGGTAATCGATGCTGATATCCGCAACATTTTCAGTAGTTTCTTCAACTTGTGTTCATTGGAGATTCTAGGACAGTCGTTCATGGATCCCTGTGATTCAGAAATGTTTAAGCTCGAACTGGAACTCTTTGCTACTTCGCAGTGGAATACTCGGAGATGCAGGTTCTTCCAGTTTCCCACCATATTTATGATGCATGCCAATTGTAGCATGAATAAGGATGATGTGTCAAATGGATCTTGATCTGATGGTTGGAAAAAGTTAACAGGCCAAACGTCGATGTATTTAAAATTTCTGTTGTTTCTGAAAGGCAAATAAAGATGCGTATGATTGAGTATTTCAAAACGCTTGAATCATAAATTAATTGAAAAACTAACTTTGTTAATTGTGTCTTGTCAAGTAAATGGAAATTTCTGCAGAGACACAAGTTCTTCTTCATGTTTAAAACATCTTGACACATGCCAACGTATTGAAGTTCATCAATGGTTTTACCTTCATTGGGCTGTCTAAGTGGAAACACTTTTCCATTGGAATAAGTTGTAACATTTTCAAACATTATGGTCGCATATTGAGAATTTTGGAAAAAATCATTCGGTATTTCACTATCGTAAAAACCCAGAACGATGGTGTTCGGCTTCATTGCTCCCATTCCAGATAATCGTATCAGGTGATGGAGGCCTTCTCGAATCGTCTTGGTGATTGTCAACTCGATGAAAGCCTTGACTTTCATGTGATCGACTAAACTAAGCCAATGAGGATATTCGTTGATCGTAGGATCGACCTTACCAGAGAACTCGCCGACTTTCACGTGACCAATAACGTAAAGGCCACCTTTCTTCAGGTCATTGATAAAATCTATTAACGGACAGGCTGAGCGCGGCGACGCGACCATCAAAAGTATCTGAGGCCGCCAGAACTTGACATGATCCTTGCGAGAGTCGAGCATCAGTAAGTACTTTCTCACTTGATGGAAAATCAAAGCCTGCGAAATGCTTCCCCAAGCTGCATTTTTGCTAGGAGAGAATAAGTGAAGTACAATAACTAATACAAGACATAATATAATACTGCTTGAGGCGTAAATGCTATTTATGATGAACATCATTATCAGTGTGCCCAACAGGCCCACGGTGGCCGTGTGCCACGTAAAATAATTATAAGTTGGTCTGAAATTCGGAGCACTGGCCAGTTCTAGTCCTAAGCATGCCAAATTCGTAGCCAAGTAGCTCAACAAGAAGAGAACAGAGTTTATCTGAGCAATGGTGTTTAGGGACTCGATGAAAAAAATGATTTGTACCAATGCCCAAGATGTAAATACTGCCCCAATCGGATTGCCTCTCCAAGTTGTTTTAACAATGAAATTCAACAAAGAACCTTAACGAAAAGTATTAATTAACTTTTTGAAATAATCATCAACCGTTTGTGTGTGTGAAAATTCAAGTATGTTCCTTTACCAAATACATTGTCCTTGGCCAAGGCTTCCAATACTCGGCTCGATCCAATCAAATTGCTCAAACTAGCACTAAACGTCGCAGTCATTATGCCAACTGCAACGAATGGTGGCCAAATATTGATAGGCATCATGTAGATGAAATTGTTCTGAAGGAGAAAGCGACTTGTACTTGCGGCCGTCAGGACTGACAGTAAAAGGTAACATATGAATGTAAACAGAACAGCTGAAAGGGTGCCCCTGGGAATGCTGTAAGACGGATTTTTTAATTCTCCTGAAATAGTAAATAAAAAAAAAGGATGTTATGGAAAAGTAAAGTTTCGTGGATAACATTAAAATTAAAATTACCACTCATGTTGGCTCCTGCCATGATTCCAGTGACACCACTGAAGAGTACACCAAAGACACTAGCAAAATCACTCATTACTCCTTGACTGGAGTAATCTGCACTATAATTGGCATACAAATTGTCTAATAATGTTGGATAAGAGAGACCAGTGTAAGTTCCATTAGGATGTAGAGTTTTATTAACTATTGTGTTTGTATGGGGAATGAGTACCTGGGAAATAACCACTTTGATTAATAAGCATGAAATGGTAGTTACAATGAAACAAAAAACTACTGGGAAAAACCTATGAATCACCTGTAATTCTCCTTGCACGAAAAAGCTTATAAAAACACTGCCAAGACAAATAAATACAACTGCTAAAATGGTGACGCTAGTTTTTGCAAACATAGTTGCCCCGATTAGGCAAACGATGAGGTTTGTCGTATTAAGTAGGGTGCAGTAAAAAAATTGCCACCATCTACTGCCTGGTATGAGTCCAGCTTCACCAACCAAGTACCCAGATGGTCCAAAGCTCTCAATTAGACCCTCCGAGCACCCAAAAATGTAAAGAGCACTCGACACTACGTTTGCCAAGAAAAATAGAGTGCCTATTGATCCTCCAAACTCGGGACCTAGTGTCCTACTTATCATGACTAATTCAAAGCTGTTAAGAAATTCAAAGGCGTGATCAAGTCAATGATACTGTGAATAGTATAATTTCAAGGATACAGTAAGCACCGCCTCCTTCGACTGCTCCATTTGTTGAGATAGCGCAAATAGACGAAACCGTAAATACCAATATACCATAAGCTATTATGAACTGAATCAAGGTGGTCAAAAGTCCAGCATTTCCGACAATGTATCCTGTAAACAGTACCTATCAAGTAACTATTGAGCAGAGAAACGGATGTATAATGATAAAAAGACACAGCAATTAACTCACCCATTCGTATGAAAACCAAGGCACTGAACATGGACAGAGTGACAGGACTGAAGACACCAGCAAATGTGCCAAGAGTTCGACCACTGTCGGAGCCCAGGGTGCTAAATTCGACGTAGCCATCTCTGTCACCACTTGGATTTCTGAGTCTCAGCCAGCAGCTTAGCCTGTGAAAAACGCCCCTGTTCCTGATCAAAGGCGCCTTTTCACCCGTTATTTGTATCGCCTCTGCATTGTTTGTCGATCCGATTTCAGATGCCATCATCTTGCTCACACTGTTAATTTAGTCAACGTCTGTGGCTGTTCAAAAAGAGGAGTATCACTAATAACAACTGTACCCTACACACTATTTGCAGACAAATCAACCACGCGTGCTGTCATTTAATAAGTACATGTCGTTGCACAAGATACTTACGTCTTTGTTCTCTGAAATACTTATAGATGAGCGTTAGCTGATGCTTGAGACTTTGATGATAAATACTGATACATACGATATAGGTACAGGCTTATAAATAATGTGTAAGCGAATGTCATTGCTCGGCGATGAATTTTGCTGACTAATAATGTTTGTTCATGTGCTTTGACATATACGATAGTGGATCGTTTTGACAGATAAACGATTAAACGACTCCAAAAAAAAAAAAAAAATACTACCCTACTTGTAGCACGGCTCTGTCATCGATGTAACACTGGCTGAACTCTGGATGAACTGAAGAATGCTTGTAAACAGTACTATTTACATGCTTTGAACTTTAATTTTAGTACAGGTTGACGCTAGCGCCGCCCGATCATGTGGCGCTACCACGACCTACGTAACGTAACTTCTGGCAGCATTTGCAGAATACCGAATACGCAGCCTCTGATTAGTCTGATTTTATCATCATTGTGGTAAAGAGAGCATGGTGTAAGATAAACGTGAAGTTATGTGTAGTAATATAGTAATAATCACCATGTAGTTATTACACCATGTAAGCAGAATGTCTGTACTTTTGAAGATCGATTTTCGGGTAAAAGACAAATTGTACACTTGCCGCAAATAGCACAAACAACGTTTAATTTTAATTTTATGTCTAGTTAATTAGTTGCGGCTGATTTATAATCGACTACATGGCTCTACTGCAAGTTATGATAATTATTTGGATCAGCGCCATCTAGCGGTCTTTCTTCTTTGGCCAAAAGTGGCTCCTAAAATTCTCAATCAGAGCAATCAGGATTAGAGCCATTTAGTCAATTATAAACCAGCCGCGACTCATAACGAAACTATAAAATGAAAAAATAACAATACATGTGTTTTTGGCGGCAAGTTAACAATTTATTTTCTATCAAAAAATTGACTTCCTAAGTATTTGTACTTTTAAAGATGAATTTTCGAGTAAAAGATAGATTGATAACTTGCCGCCAAAAACACACGTATCGTTTTTTTTTTCATTTTATAGCTTCATCATAAGTCGCGGCTGGTTTATGATTGACTAAATAACTCTAATCCTGATTGCTCTGATTGAGAATTTTAGGAGCCACTTTTGGCCAAAGAAGAAAGACCGCTAGATGGCGCTGATCCAAATAATTATTGCTATTTACAGTAAAGTCCTTTTATCAATTATAAACCAGCCGCAAATAATCTTATAAATAGACAATAAATAGTTGACATTTTTTATGCTACTTGCGGCAAGTTTACAATTTATCCTTTATCCAAAAATCGACCTCTGCAAGTAAATAAATATTCCACTTATCTTATATGGCTTTTAAAATCTACCATATTTACAAAATTACAATAGTTTAGACCATTTACTACTGACTTATGGAAGCACAACCCTTTAACTTTATATTTCCAATAAACAGTTAACTTATATAATATGTACATACCAAGATTTGTGTTACAAAAATCTTGAACAACGATTAAATAGATATGTAAAGTAATCAGTCCAAAAGAGACAACTGAAGAAAAAAGGCTTAAAAAAGAAGTTCAGTTACACAGGAAGAGTCTCCTAAAAATAGAGCATTGGATCTCACTTAATCAGAGAAGGTTGGGTTCTTTGTTTATTTATAATACTTAAAATTTACTTCTTTGTAGTAAATGTATTTTTTATTTAGTGAGATCCAATGCTCTATTCTTAGGAGACTCTTTGAGTGACTGTGCTTTTTTTTAGGCTTTTTTTTTTTAGTTGTCTCTTTTAGACTGATTAATTCACGTAAATGTATTCTACTATTTACGATGCTAGTTGAGACTTTTAACTTGTGCGTTGTCAAATTATTGAAACATTCAAATCTCACAACATGAATGTGTGACATATTGCACAGTAACATAAATATATAATATGTATGTAAGAAAAAAAATATTACAGATTTCAGTGACTCAAAGTTTTTCAATCCAACATGGACCATTCCAACATTTTTCAGGATTAATCAAAATGAATTTTTCATATAAAACAACTTGCTGCTTGTATAATCATCATCAATCATTTGTTAAATGTAAAACAAATAAAGCTCTATGTTTGATTAACAAATTTTCTTTATTATTCAAATAAACACAAATCCTTAGCATAAAATTATGAATTTTCACATTCT